AACCAGCATGGCTGCATAAAGAACTCTCTGATAAATTGAAAGACAAAAAGGACAAGTATAAAAAGTGGAAAGAAGGGCACATAACTAAGGCAGAATATCAGTAAATAGCCTGCGCCTGCAAAATTAAAATGAGGAAAGCTAAGGCTCAAAATAAACTAAGGTTTGTGACAAAAGTCAAAAATAACAAAAAAAGCTTTCAACATGTAGAAAAAAACAAGAAAAAAGTTAAGGAAATGATTGGTCCATTAGTGGGAGAAAGTGGCAAGAAGGTGACAAGCAACAGGGAGAAAGTAGAACTACTTACCTTGTTTTTTTTTGCATCCATCTTTACACAAAGGGAAAAAACAGTACAACCTATCAAAAACAGTACCGTAAAAAATGGATTAGAACACAAGATAGGCAAGAAAATGATAAGTGAGCACCTGTCTACCCTAGATGAGTTCAAATCACCAGGACCAGATGGACTACACCCCAAGGTTCTGAATGAACTGGCAGATATGATCTCAGAACCACTGAACTATATCTTTCAAATATCACAGGGGAACTACCAGAGAACTAGAGCAGGGTGTTGGACTAGAAGACCTCCAATGTCCCTTCCAACTCTATTATTATTATTATTATTATTATCATTCATCGCACAGTCAGCCAGATGTTCAGCCTGGATTTGGCATTTTGTCTACCTATCGAGTCCTTACCCAGGACCTGGGATAGGCAGATGTGGATGTTTGATGGTATTACAGGTATCGTCGCAGGATGAAAGCAGTTCCTAGTAAGGCCGCCTTTTGCAATTGACTAATAGCAAATTTGTCAATGCCAATGGTGTTCAAGTGGTGCTCCAGTTGTTTTGGGATTGCACCCAAGGAGCCTATGACTATTGGTACTACCATTGCTTGCTTTTGCCACAGTCTTTCTATTTCTATTTGTAGGTCTTTGTATTTTGTTATCTTCTCCAGTTCTTTCTCGTCTATTCTGCTGTCTCCAGGCACTGCCACGTTCACTATCCAGACTTTTTTGTCTTTCTTATCGACAATTGTTAAGTCCGGGGTGTTATGTTGCAGGTGCTTGTCTGTTTGAATTCTGAAGTATTATTATTATTATTATTCTCAATCATCGCACAGTCAGCCAGATGTTCAGACTGGATTTGGCATTTTGTCTACCTATCGAGTCCTTACCCAGGACCTGGGATAGGCAGATGTGGATGTTTGATGGTATTACAGATATCGTCGCAGGATGGAAGCAGTTCCTAGCAAGGCCGCCTTTTGCAATTGACTAATAGCAAATTTGTCAATGCCAATGGTGTTCAAGTGGTGCTCCAGTCGTTTTGGGATTGCACCCAAGGCGCCTATGACTATTGGTACTACCCTTGCTTGCTTTTGCCACAGTCTTTCTATTTCTATTTGTAGGTCTTTGTATTTTGTTATCTTCTCCAGTTCTTTATCTTCTATTCTGCTATCTCCAGGCACTGCCACGTCCACTATCCAGACATTTTTGTCTTTCTTATCGACAATTGTTAAGTCTGGGGTGTTATGTTGCAGGTGCTTGTCTGTTTGAATTCTGAAGTCCCAGAGCAGTTTAATTTTATTATTTTCTATGACTTTCTTTATTTTATGATCCCACCAGTTTTTGCTTACAGGCAAATGATATTTTTTGCAGATCCTCCAATGCACCATTGTTGCTACTTTGTCATGTCGCTGCTTGTAATATTATTATTACTACTACTACTACTACTACTACTACTACTACTACTATTACTACTACTACTACTACTAGTAGTACTAGTACAACTACTACTACAACAACATTCTAACCTCTGCACCACTATGGCTCCAATGCTAACACATAAAGCTTCCAGTTAATCTGTAAAAGACAAGCTGAGCTGATTCACACCTCTCCTGAACACAGCTTACTTAAAAAATATACAGGTACATGGAGGCACCACACCTGATTGAATAAGGTTTGTATGTTTGAGTAGAAGGTAATTCCTGTGTCAAGAAACTGGCTGTTCAATGTGGAGAAAATTCCCAGTTCTTTGGTGTCAATAATAAATTTTGAAGTTATGAAACTGATAGTCCACCATCAGTGGGCAGAAGATCATTAGACTTTCTGTGAGAGTAGATTCCATAGAATCTGGCATTTATTGATTCACAGGGATGAGCTGAAAATTGTCAATTTGCAAAAGCACTGCATGAAGAATGCAATATGTAGACCAGGATTTTTTTTTTTTAAAAAAAAAGATTGAAATGAAAAGAAAGCAAGCAAGCAAGCAAATTTTTGGAGTTCCATAATTTAATTTTGATCCTAGTCTACTTGCAAAGTTTCTTTGCAATTCCCTGCATACAACTCATGAAAAGCTCTATTGCTACCGGTACTTCAAAAATCCTGTCCTTAATGGAGAGTATCTAACCAACATTTCAGCCTCTCACCTTGCGAAGTTCTTCAACTGGGCAGATTGAGTTGATGGATGATTAAACTGATGGGCTCTCATTTTCTGGGCCAATATCTGAGTCTCCAGATAGGCGTGGTATGAGATCAAGATGGACAAATTTCTTCAAGGATTTCCTGGTCCACCCTCTTCTTTTTCCCATAACTGAGAGGAAAGGAAGTGAAGCTCAGTTCCAAAGATAATTGGCCACATTTTCCTCTGGTAAAGAAAGGAGTTATCAAAAATCAACCCATTGATTCCACATCCTAGTGGGAAGCAAACACTGTCCCTCATTAATCATGGTCATATTTACTAGATTTCTTCATTTTATTAATTTCAATTGTCATGATTTCTAGCCTATGCTATGTCAAACATTAACACAATTGAGGAAGATACACCATTTCGTCCCTCAGATTTGCCTTGAGAAAAACACCCTTTGCTTCCTTTTTTAAAAATAAATGTTACTGAAAATTTTAGAAGGAATATAAAAGCTAACACAAGCTAAGGAAGAACAAAAGAAAGGCACTATCTAACAAAATGAAATTCAATGGTGAAAAAAGTAAGGTTCTACATTTAGGCAAGAAAAACCAAATGCACAGGTATAGTATAAGTCAGTGATGGTGAACCTTTTAGAGACCGAGTGCCCAATCCCCCCACCCCGCCCTGCCCGCTCCACCCTGTCCCACCTGCTGGGCACCCACCACCTCCATGGTCCGGTGCAGATTGCTCAGGCAGTCCTGCAGTGTCATGGTGGACATGCCCTCCATCCGTGCCCCACAACATCATCTGCGTGTGACAGGACACGAGGGCAAAGTCTTGTCCCTGCTGCGCTGCTCCGTGCCTGGGGGTGACTCTCCTCTGGGGGGACTGCTGAGGGGGTGGCAGGGCTGGGACAATGGTGCACATGCCCACAGAGAGGGCTCTGAGTGCCGCCTCTGGCACACTTGCCATAGGTTCGCCACCACTGGTATAGATGGTATCTTGCTCAATAGTAGCAACCGTGAGAGGGATCTTGGAGTACTAGTGCAGGGCTTTTCAACTTTTTCACCCATTGTACCACTTTTTAGGATATGGCAATATGCGAGTAGAACCAGTTGCCTAGCAAGGTGTCAAAAACTTGATGATCAAAAAAAAAAAGGAAAAAAGTGTAGTGTCTCAAGGTCATGTGATCCCCTTTTGCAACCTTTTAACAAGCAAAGTCAATGGGGAAACCAGATTTGCTTAACAACCCTTTATATCAGGGGTGTCAAACTCAATCTCATTGACGGCTGCATTAGCATTGTGGTTACCGTAGGGGAGGGGTTTCCTTTCTTCTTTTTTCCCTTGCTCCCTCCCTGCCACCCTCCTCCTCATTCCCATTTCTTTCTTTCTTTCTTTCTTTCTTTCTTTCTTTCTTTCTTTCTTTCTTTCTTTCTTTCTTTCTTTCTTTCTTTTTCTTTCCTTCCTTCCTTCCTTCCTTCCTTCCTCTCTTCTCCATCCTTCTCATTCCCATCTCCTTCCTTCCTTCCTTCCTTCCTTCCTTCCTTCCTTCCTTCCTTCCTTCCTTCCTTCCTTCCTTCCTCTCCTCTCCATCCTTCTCATTCCCATCTCCTTCCTTCCTTCCTTCCTTCCTTCCTTCCTTCCTTCCTTCCTTCCTTCCTTCCTTCCTTCCTTCCTTCGAAGATGGAAGCACATGAGGCCGAGATGCTTCATCCATCCCATGTTCTCCACAGCTTTCTTAGAGATTTCTGGTCTCACGTCAGCCTCATGCCAGCTCAGCTTCTTGTGGAAGAGCCCATAGATGTTCCTCTGATACCGTAACCATTCCCTCAGGAAGAATTCAGCTTGAGAAACTGGGGAAGCATAGTAGACATGAATGGTGGAAAGGGGACATGGTTATGCCATTGAGTATGAAATAAGTGAATGCGCAGAGGAACTCAGCTACCAAACCTCCATAAGATTAAATTTTCTCAGTAAAGTCCATTTCCGTCATGCTGCTTATAGACATAGACAGCTTATTATTTGTGCTTTTGACAATTAGAATAAAACTAGGTTATAGAAAAAAACTAAGCTCTTTTTCTGTAATCATAAAGTAAGAGTCAAAATTGCAATATAATGCTTGTTGCAGAAGAAATTGGAAGCTGCTTTTTTCTGTTCCTTTTTGTTCTGTCTTTCTGCACTCTTTGTCTTATCTTTCTTCTCTTGTCTTTTGCTCTTATGAGCTTGGGTTAGCTTTTATATTCCTTATAAAACTTTTAATAATAATTATAAAAAACAAAAATGGAAGCATAGTATGTTTTTCTCAAGGTAAATCTGAGGGAATTTTCCTCAATTATGTTAATGTTTGACATAATATATGCTAGAAACCGTGAGAGTTAAAACCAATAGAATAAAGAAATCCAGTAAATATGACCATGATTAACGAGAGACGGTGTTTGCTTCCCACTAGGGTGTGGAATCAGTGGGTTGATTTTTTGATAATTCCTTTCTTTACCTAAGGAAATACTTGCCAATTATCTTTCAATCTGAGCTTTACTTCCTTTCCTCTGAGTTATGAGAAAAAGAAAAGGGTGGACCAGGAAATCTTTAAAAAAATTTGTCCATCTCGATTTCGTGCCAGGCCCACCTGAAGGCTACTTAATGGTTGCTCAGAAAGTAAGAGTCCCCCAGTCCAACCGTCCACCAACTCAACCTCCCCAGTTGAAGAACTTTGCAAGGTGAGAGGCTGAAGGCATTCTTGACAAGTGTTGGTTAGATACTCTCTGCTATCCATACAGTGATCCGGCACTGAGATAAGGAGAGGGCTTTTTGAAGTAGCAATAGAGCTTTTCATGAGTTGTATGCTAGGAACCACAACAGAAAGTTTACAAGTAGACTAGGATCAAAATTAAATGATGGCACTCAAAAATTTGCTTTCTTTCTCAGCAAGCTAATATGAATGCCACTCTATTAATTCTTCTATCATATCTACTTCTCATTTCTCCTAAAGGAAAACCAGAAGATGGGATTCTCCATGTACATCGGCCTCTGTTGCCTTGGAATATTGATCACCAATCCTTTTTTGGGCGGTGAGTCCCCTAATTTAATCATGATGTGGGAAACATAGCAAATTAAACAACTTAGTAAAGTAAGCTCTGTCCTCAGATATTTTCATATGTAATATGCAGGTCAGAATATTTATGCTGATCCCAAAATTCTGAAACTGTACTACTGAGATGCACTAATAAAATGAATATACAGTATTTCAGCAATGTGATTTCTCAGGTTCCACATTTAAATTTAATTTTCTGTCTGAAGGGCAGGAAGAGTAATAATAATTATCTCCCTCAGACATTGAAACCTTTCTCAATGACTCCACTGTGGCACAGTTTTAGTCATTTAGGATTGTCCATTTGAGGCAAGCATAAGACTAGGGGAACATTTGAACATTTTCCCAGCCCCCTTGAATACCTTGAAATTGTTCTGGAAAATAGATTTGGATCACTTTCAAGGTTGTAAAGAAGTAGAAGTATTTTGGGTCTCTTGATTGTTTTGCTCCATCTTAAAATCCTATTCCTCAAACCAGAAAAACTCCTTGCCTTCATGCTAAACCACAGCCCTCAACCCTTCCAATCATGTCTACTCCCAACGGAAGAGATTCCATTCACAGACATCTGCAATCTATTCCAATTCCCTACCATTTTCTCCCCTCTTTTTGTCTCCCTGCAGCCCAGGCTGCGTCGTGCCCCAGAGACTGGTTGCAGAAAGAGGGGAACTGCTATGGATATTTTGATGCTAAACTAAGTTGGGATGCTGCTGAGGTAAGAATTGTTTTTTTTTTTTACCAGTCCAGGTGTGGAGAAAGGTTTTTTGAGAAACCAAAATTGCACAAATGGAGATGTGCAAAGTTTAAAGTTTGTGACAATCCCACTCATGAGCATGGAGTGCCATCTTCGTGTCCTTTCTCTATTCCTAGCTTGAGTGCCAGACCTATGGGCCAGGATGTCACCTTGCCTCTATCCTCAGCTTCCATGAGTCCTCACTGGTGTCTGCATATGTCAAAGATAAACAGGGATCACCTGGCCCTGTCTGGATGGGGCTCCGTGATATCTCTGGGGTGAGTCTGACATTTTTCATTTCATTTTTTTTTAAAATTATTCCTGGTCTACGTATTGCATTCTTTACTCAGTACTTTTATACACATTCTTTTGTTATATTTGGCGAGCAGCTTGGTGATCATAATACATGACCTGAGATTGTTTGTTGGTGCTCATCACTGCAGTCTGTGTTGGATTTAGGCATCCACTAAGCAAACTACAACTGAGGATTCACAATCCGTAGTGCCTCATAAAAATTTTAGAATTGTTTTCTTTTGGGTTCTTGGAAATGTATGTGGTATTTTATAGCTATTCTAGGTGTTAAAATATTGTGCAGCCATTGTTTAAGTAATATTTTTTATTGATGTTTAAAAATACAAAGATAAAAAGATGCCAACTCATTGAGACTGAATAATGAAGCTTTATTATTTGCTCATAGATGTACAGTGAGAAATGGGATGAAGAGATTTTAAATTCACATGTTAGAGAAAGTGATAAATTATTGAAATTGTCCTGAAGAAGAGGAAGGTCATTTCTTTATTATTGTTTTTCCTTTTTTAAACATGTTTTTTCTTCTTTTTCAAACTTTTAGGCTAGTGAGAAGTCAAGAATGATTTTTTAAAAAGTTGTATCTGATATCAGTTTTGCAGATCAATTCTTTATTACTTATAGAAATAAAACTGATCCTGATTACTTATTTTGTGCATGTGTATATGTCTGTGTATGTGTATACAGTATATGTGTGTATAAATTATATATACACACATATACATATTTGTGTGCGTGTGTATCTTTATATCTATATATCCATATGTCTATATATCCATATATCCTTTAAGTATTGTTTCCAGGTTATTTTATTATAAACTATGAAAGAGATCAAGCTAGCTGAATGAAAAATATATAATCAACATCTGCCTTTGTTTGAAAACAATTTGCATTTTTCACTTTCAGTTGATTATTATTAAATAATATTCAGCTATGCACTTCTGATGCAACTATTTAACAATGGGCGCTTCCAAGCTTTATTGAGCTTAGGGCCTCAGCTAGTCCACATCCTGCACTGACTGCAATGATATCAAGAAGGCTTCTAAATTAGGACCAAATAGCAGTGCTAGGTATTTCACTCCCCTCTCTTTTTGAAGGGGGGACCACTTCATCCTGACAGTATAATAACAAAAGTGCATTGCAAGCGGCCTTCCACTTCTACTTTGAAGGTAAATATGAATGGTGGGAGAAGAGTGGTTGCAATAGCCCAAACTATTCAACAAAATTCACCTCTGGCAATCCAAACTTTCATAGAGCTGAATGTTAGATGCAACATAAATAAATTTGCGATGGTGACGAATATACATTTCCACCATATTTATTGTCATGAATTGTTCACGATACGATGCCTTGCAATTTTTTTATTTTAATGCATATGTGCTACAAAATTTCGTAGAGCTGAATGTTATATACACAACCATTTCCTCCATACTCACTGTCATGAATTTGGTATGATGTGATGCCTTGCCATTTTTTTTAATGCATGCACAATACAAAAATGATCACTTGACCACTCAGGGGGACTGCTTGAACTTGTTGAAGTATCTACAAACTGCACATCACTCAATCTTTCCAGCCAATCTGCTTAGCTTATCATCACAGAGGTTACTTACTTTCTTAACATGTAATTGTGGTCTGTCTTTTGTCAACAGAAAAGGCGATGGAGATGGGCTGATGAATCCACCTATAATTACAAATCCTGGCAGGTAAACCAGCCAGACAACTATAGAAACAATGAGCACTGTGGGGAGCTGACAAATTACTCAGGTGAGCCAACAAATCTTACCTCGTGGTTCTTGATATATCAGGACCATCAAGAGAACTAGAGTTTGCTTGTTTAATTTGGAGTAATCTTATAAACCAGAAGAATGGAGTCTATGGAAATTTCCATAACTGAAAACTGAAATTGTCTTAACTTTGTTCTGTAACAGCCTTTAGGAGAAATGATTAATTTTCTATGAAGGCAAAGATGAATAACTGTTCTCCAGATATAATTCAGTTTTTCCAAAACTGGTACCCACCAGATGCGTACAGCATTAACTTTCTACCACCAGCGGAGTACTGACAAGTGATGTCCAATATATTAGGAAAGCAGCAAAATAGAGAAAACTAGCCTAAACTTTTTCAAATGAGCATGCTTATATCTTACTGAAAGTTCAAAACTGGCCCTCTGGTTAGGAAAGGTGTGGTAGCCACTTCACAGTGCGTGTCACAAGTGTAATGAATCAGAAGCAAAATTATTATTGAAATGATTGGTTATGCTTATAATTTTTACTGTGCAAGATCTTAGCAGGAACTTGTCTGCCTTTGTGTAAATGTTTTGGATCAAGTGAAGTACTTTGGAGAGATTCTCTGTTTGATGTGGAAAAAAAACAACCTGATTCAGCCAAAAGAATTCAGACATTAGAGCACCAAGTTCCACTCTTCACTTAGTTTCACTTTTTTATGCATTCATTTATGTATCCATAGTTAAGGTACTCCATATTTTATTTCTATCTCAAGAAATTTCTTTGTATAGTCCAGTGGTGGCGAACCTATGGCACGCATGCCAGAGGTGGCACTCAGAGCCCTCTCTGTTGGCACACGCGCCATCGCCACCAGCAGCAGGTGCATCAGGCCACCACCACCGCCCAGAGCAGGAGCCCCGCCCAGCACAAAGGAGGCGAAGTGGCCGACTAGCAAGTTTGAGTAGAGGTAGTAGAGCAGAGGTCACCAACCATTGTCGATTGGTGGACTGGAAGAAAAGGGAGGGGAACGCATTTTACATGCATGCGTGCGTGCACGGGGCCATGAGCATGCACGTGCTGCAAATGGGGCAGGGCTAGTGCTTGTGTGATACTCACTAGCCCTGCCCTGTTCTTGCATGGTGCAGTACCTTGTATCTGCACCCCATGGCACAGCTGTTTTTGCGCCTTGCGGCACGGTGGCCCATTTTTGCACTCCTGGTTTCTGCATGTCAGAGGTGGCACTCAGAGGTGACTCCCTGCCCCCCCCCCATGAGAGCACCACAATGCTGATGCAGCCCTGGCACTTTGTGATAAATAAGTGGCTTTTGGGTTGCAGTTTGGGCACTCGGTCTCTAAAAGGTTCGCCATCACTGGTATAGTCCAAAGATTATGAGCAATTAAGGGCAATGCCTGCATCTCTCCCTTCTAGATAAAAAAAGTGCTATTGGAATTGTGACATCAGGGATAAGGTTCATGTGAATTCCTTTCTTCCTTCCCTCCTTCCCTTCCTCCCTTCCCCCCTTCTTCTTTCTTCTTTCTTCTTTCCTCTTTCCTTTTTCTCCTTTCAAAAGCGAAGTCAACATTTGCTTTCCTTTTCATGGGAAATTCCATTGGAGCCATTGGAGATCTTGAAGGCAATATAAAACATGACAATATTTTCCATTTGAAGGAATTGAGAAGTAACTTTTATCTTATCTTTGGCCTTTTAGATTTTAAATTGTGGAACGATAACTTTTGTGGCAATTCAAATGCTTACATCTGTAAGTACCAACTGTAGAGCCACCTGGACTACAGAAGATGGGATGCAACCAGAAGCAACTACGAAATACCTGCAAATTTTATTGACACCCTGTTGATTTTACTGCCTCTGAATCATCCAAATGAAAGATCAGATCTTCTCCAGTGCTATCCAACATTTCGTCTTAGCACAGGCAACTTCACCATTACCCTGTTCTCCTCCCTTTTCTCAATGAAAATACAATTTCAATAAATCCTCTGTAGCAGATATATAATACAAAGTCTCTGGGAATATTTCTGTCATTCAAGAACAGGGGATGGCAATATTTGGTGGGATTGGGTGGGACGGAAGCAGTTGTATTGGCTGGGTCAAATCCAAGAATTTCATCCCAGTGTTTCAGGAGAAAGGAATAAAAGGAATGAATGGAAGAGAGGGGAGAAAACACATGGTGGCCCCAGGGGCATCGTAGCAGCAGGGGGGCAAAACATCAAGATGGCAGTCATGACTGGAACTGAACTTTTTTTCATGCATCCTTTTGAGCAAAAAATTATGGCCGCCATTTTGACTTGTACACCTTCCCTGTAGATATCCCCTTTTGCCTCCATTGCCTGGTATTTTTGCCTACATATATTCTTAAGGTGGCACAGGACTCACTTAAACTTGCCAAGACAGACATGCAGTTGGAAAGGTAAATAAATGAAATCTGTTGAAATCCAATTTTATATGAAAGGCAATGGATGTCAGAATCAGATCTTCTCTTGGACATTTCTTTTTTTTTTTAATATTTTTTTTATTTTTCCAAACTCTCCCCCATACATATACAGTGATATTTATCAGATGTTAACATACATTCTTTTTACATTCATATATAAGATACTTTTAATAAAATGAAATAAATACATACACATGACTTTTGGTGTTACTCGCCCATATCCCCTTTCACTGTATCCATACTCCTTCTTCTCTACCTTCTTTCTCCCTTTCTTCTCTTCCCTACTTCCCTCTTCTTCTTCTCCTCTTCTCTTTCCTTCATCACTCTCCTCCCCTTTCTCCCCACTTCTCCTCCAACCTTCCTACTTCCTTCTCACCTTCTTTACTCTTTTCTCTCAGCTCTCCTTTCTTCCCTCTTATCCCTCTTCAAATAAAATTCAGGGGTAATACTCCTGGACATTTTGGTTGCCAGCAACTTCTTTTAAATTCTGGTTCTGACTTTTTGGAAAGCTCTTGGGGTTGACTGCAAATGTCGATGCAGGGATTACTGCAATATATCTATCAATGACAAATGAAGAGAATGTCATGTTGCCAATAGACTTTTTTTTTTTTTGAAAAACTGTATGATACACTATGAAATGCATACAAAAACTTTAGAAAGGAGTTTGGCCAGGTGGCTAATGTAAATATTCTTATTATTGAATCTTATTGTTTTATTGAATCTTATTTTTTCATTAGCCTAAGTGAGTGTAACTAACAAAGCATATTGCCCCGCCCAAAAGCAGGATTTTATTGAATTGGCAAGAGTATTAGAACAACATGTCATTGGCAAAGAATATTTATTTGTGTTCACTTTTCAGTGAGCAAAGAACAATAAGGCTTAGTAAAGTCTGGATCAGCTGAAGGTTAATTGTAAATGAGAGATCAGATCTAAGGAGAAAGAACTCAAATTCACTTAGATTAGAAAAGATTGCTTGAACTCTTGTTTTCAGTGAAAGATTCTTTAAAATGATCTGAAATCCTGAACTGAAGCATGATGATCTGAACCCAAAATTACTTTATTCACCGGTGGATTCTACACTCATCATGCTGGAGAAGGGGCGTTGTCTTACCTGAACGCCTTTTCTCAGCACGATGATGTAGAATCCACACCCTCCCTTTGAGGCAGTCTAGGCAGGTGTCATGGATTATTGGAGCCATTGCACCAGACTTCGTCATGGATACTTTGCCTTGTCAATAACTGGGAAGACACACCCAGAGGGAGGCGTGGCTAAAGTTCTGACTTAGTCTCATCTAAGCAGGAAGGCTGAGATTACCTTTACATTGAGATTACATTCCTGCTCAGATGAGACTAAGTCAGAACTTTAGCCACGCCTCCCTCTGGGAATGTCCTCCAGTTATTGACGAGGCAAAGCATCCATGACGAAGTCTGACACAATGGCTCCAATTAACATGACACCTGCCTAGACTGCCTTAAGAGAGGGTGTGGATTCTACATCATCATGCCGAGATAGTCAATTGAAAGTTGTAAAGCTTTAGCAATAAGTATTAGTACATGACCAGATTTATAGAAAAGGAGGAACATAAATTACAGGGATGCGTTGTGAAACATACAAATTTGAAGGCATGAAAACTATACTCTCTAATCAAAATATAAAGTGACAAAGTTGCATTGTGCTACTTAAAGATATTTGACTGTGCTCAATTGCTCTGGCATAATTTTATGCACATGGCAGTTAATCACTATTGCAATGTGGACCAAATCTTTTTATGCTAATTCTCTGTTTTGGATTTTTCACAACATAATTCACCCACTCCACCTCTTGGGAATGCGTAAGCTACACATTAAGCCATTTTTTGTCTAATAACACAGCAGATAATGCTTTCACTTGTGTGAGATTCAGAGATTTTCATGTCATCCACCTTCAACCTTTGCAGTGTCCTATTCAAGTTCTCTTCCTGCTTGTGATTCTGGGTATTTGTTCAAACTGCTAATTACTCCAAATGTCATTACACGCTACTGTTCACATATTGCTACAGCTATTCTACCCACAATTCTTTGTTCTTTAGTCCCCTGGCAAAATCAGCCCTAAGACAGGATGTTAATTCTACTGTAGATGTGGAAGAGCTATAAAGCAATCATTGCATGCAATGCCAATACTTTCTGGTTAAGTCAACATCCATGGGAATTTTCCAGTCAAAAAAGAATCCATGATAATAAATGGATCATATTTGTAATTTTCTTAAATTGTCCTGTAAGTGCCGAAACAAATTTAAAAGGAGTATTGTTTGAATTATAAAGATGCTGGTTGCTGCTTGTGAAGTTTAACTGTTGCTGGATACTTTCTAAGTGAAGATCAGGACTTGAATCTTTCATTCTAAATGCCCCCCAGCTTAGCTTCCTCATAGTTACACAACAAGGAAATGAAATACTTCATACTTCTATCCCAGGTTTCCTCTAGAAACAGTGATCTAGATAAAAGCAGTCGTGTCAGGAGAACATGACACTCAAAAGCTGAATATCCAGGGAGACTTCTTGAATCTGGGTGAGTGTATAAATACTTATGCTTGAGGCTCTGCAACGAACATTCTATTGCTTATCATGTGATAATGGGATAGAATAGAATAGAATAGAAATAAAAATAGAATAGAGTACAGTAGAGTACAGTAGAGTAGAGTAGAGTAGAATAGAAATAAGAATAGAACAGAATAGGAATAGGAATAAGAACAGAACAGAACAGAAATAAGAATAGAAATAAGAATACAATGGAATGGAACGGAACGGAACGGAACAGAACAGAACAGAACAGAATAGAATAGAATAGAATAGAATAATAATTTCATTGTCACTTTAAGTGTATATTAATCAGCATACATTAAAATGAGATTTCGTTGCATACAGCTCTCAAAGGATAACCACTTCCAATATACACTGCATAAACATGACCAAAAAAATTCAGGTAGAACACACATGCACACACAAACATAGACACATTTTCATTGCTAGTTAAATCTTCTAATATCATTCTTGGTTTAAGAGTCTAAGTAAATGTGCTTCGAAATATGTGCTTATGGAAAAAGAAAATTCTTTAAAGATACATCATTAATTTCATATTTGGTGCAATTTTAACCCAGAGCTCTGTTATTTACAGCCCTCATCCTTTCCTTTCCTCCCACTTTTTTATTTTCTCATCCTTCCACTTTGCAGTTTTTCTGTTGTCCTTCAAGATTTTCATTCTTTTGAACTATTATTTCTATTACTGCAAAACCTTCTTGTTACAAATGGGGCAATGCTGTTTGGTGAGTTTATTAGTCACAATCCCACTTGGATGCTAGCAGTAGCAAAAAATAGGAAATTTTGAGCTGCTGCTTTTCTTCCCACAATTGAAATGTTTCAATTTATCTTGGTACAGTGGTCTAGTGTTAAGCTGACAAACTGAGAGATTCAAATCCCCAATTGACCATGGAGCTCATTTGTTGACATTCGTTCTTTCATTTCAGACTAACCAGTTCAATTCAGTTCAATTAATATGTCTTTTGGGTTATTGAAGATCATGAACCTCTATTGTGTTGGTTTGACTCATGATTGGTATGTGATAGAAAGATATGGGGAGGCCCCAGTTTCCTCTACATTCTATGTTGTTGGCCTAATCATATTGGTTCAGCTGTCTTTAGGGATGTTTTCTCACTCCAGACCACAACCATGCCTTAGAGCAGTGTTTCTCAACCTTGAAAATTTTAAGGCATGTGGACTTCAACTCCCAGAATTCCACAGCCAGCAATGCTGGCTGTGGAATTCTGGGAGTTGAAGTCCACATGCCTTAAAATTGTCAAGGTTGAGAAACACTGCCTTAGAGACTGATCTACACAACTTGTTATAGAGCAGCTTTTTTTTTTTTGCTTGTTCTGCCAATTGATCCACAGGTCTTCACCATCTTCCATTCCTACCCACAATAGTAGAACTATGATGAATGTCTCAGAGACCATGGCTAAGATGTGGACATGGTTATCTTCCATGCCAAGAATGTTGCAGCTGCGAAGATAAAATTATAAGAGACTCAAATATATGCTGTTGTGTTCAGTTTGTGGAAGGGTGAATGTATACACATTTTTTTCCTCTCCACTCACATAGTTTTATAACTTCAAGACTTATTATTGAGACTAAAGAACTGGGAGTTTTCTCCACATTGAACGGCAAGTTTGTTGACACAGGAATTACCTTCTATTCAAACACAAAAGTTTACTTAATCAGATGTGGTGCCTCCCTGTACCTATTCAAAACATAAATTATATATATATATATATATATATATATATATACATTTAAGTAAGCTATGTTCAGGAGAAGTATGAATCAGCCCAGAATGTCTTTCAAGATTTGTTTACTGAAACATAATGGTTGATTCTTGACTTAAAATTTCCATATATGGAACTTTGTCTAAGTCAGGTTTTTAAAAAAACCTGTGGTTAGGGATTTGCTATTTGATCTCTCCTTTAACACTTTATATATGCTTAGTTGCAAAAGCTGAAAGGGCATTGGGATTAAAAGATAAATGTAAGTTGAAGGATGTGGTTCCTTCAAGCTTTATAAAAACTGCAGTGAGTCAAAACAAAAGGTTATGTTTAACATGGCGTCTTTGGTTAAGCTGCTGCTTTGAGCTTTCTGAAGAAAGCCAAGGATATAAATGGATTATGACTATGTGATTTCTTTGATTTATAATCTGTGTTTTCTTTAGGAGCTGAAAGTATCTTAATTTTATGCCACAAGGTCAATTCTATGAGGTAGGCTGGGAGACAAAAGAGTGACTGGTCCAAATTCGTGCAAAGAGATTTGCTGGTCCATGGTCCTAATCCAACACTTCATCCCTATACAACACTAGCACTCTTTTCTGATGTAATAAATCTTTTTTTTAAAAATGGAAAATATCTCTTGATTTTCTCTTAGCTGAAGAGCAAAAATGAGACCTTTGGTATACAGTAGTCTTTGGCTTCTTGGCTTCTTTATGGCAGGTGAGTTTTCCCTTATGAAAAAAAAAAAAGGTCTGAAGATCAAGATGGGTGAAGATAGAGAAGCTGCCTATAGATCAATCAAGTAGGGCAGAATGGAAGGCCAGAATAGAACGCTGTCAATAGAAGACAATATTTGTAGCTCAGGATTGAACTATGTTGTCCTTGGTGCTCTCTGAGTGTGATTGTTTGCCTGCAGACATGTCAGTTCCAGACGAGGTAGCATCATCTCTGTGTATCAGTTACCTAGACTAGTCAGTTAAACCTAGACTAGTAAAGAAATTGTTCCTTTTGGATTATGATTTGGTGGAACATTCAAAATATTTTTAAAAGGAAGATAAAGTTTACTCTTCAACTATTTTTATTAGGGATTTTTGAGGATTTTGATGTTAAAGAAACTATTCTAATGTTGAATTTAATTACAGCGGAAAAGTTATTGATAGGTCAATATTGGAAGAAAGATTCGTTGCCTACATTAGAAGAATGGACATTTAAGGTTTCCAATTTAGCAGAAATGGCTAAAATTTCTGCTTATTTAAAGGATCATACACAAGAAAGATATATTATGGTATGGAGAAGATGGATAGATTATATTCAGATTAAATATGGAACTGAAAAGTTTATATTCAGATTAAATATGGAACTAAATAATAAGTATTATTAATAATAAGGTTTTAAGGGAGTTAAGGGTTAAGTATGATAATAATTGTTGTACAAATTGTTAAACTTGTTTAGCTTATGATTAATATATTTGTTAACTTAATTAGATTATGTTTAATATGTTTGATATACCCTGTATTTGGTTCTGGGAAGTGTGGGGGGGTGGGGGGGTAGGGGGGCGGGTTATTGGGTTTATTATGTAATTATTAATAAAAATTTTAATAATAATAATAATAATGATGATGATGATGACAATAATAATAATAATAATAAGAAGAAGGAGGAGGAGGAGGAGGAGGAGGGGGGGGAGAAGAAGAAGAAGAAGAAGAAGAAGAAGAAGAAGAAGAAGAAGAAGAAGAAGAAGAAGAAGAAGAAGAAGAAGAAGAAGAAGAAGAAGAAGAAGAAGAAGAAGAAGAAGAAGAAGAAGAAGAAGAAATTGTTCCAAGCAAACAACCAAGCTCAGAGAGCACCAAGGACTATCTAAACAACTGTCAGTCTTCTGGTATACCTTTTTCAGGCTGCAGTTTGGCTCAGTGGTAAAGTGCCTGTTCTGCAAGCAGGGAATCTCAACTTCAATTCCTGGCTTGTCCCTATCACAAGATCTCTGAAAGACTTATCTCAAACTATGGGCAGCTTTACGGTGGTTAGAATGAAGGAAACAAACCTAAATAAGGATATTATTAATAATAGTAGAAATAAATAATGGTGACGGGGGCTCACCTAATCCCCTGTTAGGCCCAAGCTGCTTAAAGAAACAAAAGATAGGATAATCTTAAATTAATAGACACCCCTTCCTGCTCACTTTATGTTTAAGATAGCTGATATCTTTTTCTCCTGAGATGGTGTCCATGTCAGGCCATTATAATCAACATAACAGCAATGGAGCTTAATGGGAAAATATAACCTTATGGAGGTTGAGATGCTATGTCCTCTTTCCAGCATTCATGTCTACTGTGCTTCCCCAGTTTCTCAAGCTGCATTCTGCCCGAGGGAATGGTTAAGGTATCAGAGGAACTGTTATGGGCTCTTCCATGAGAAGCTGAGCTGGCATGAGGCTGAGGTAAGACTTGAAATCTCTAAGAAAGCTGTGGAGAACATGGGATGGATGAAACATCTCATCCTCACATGCTTTCCCCTTGGCTTCAGATCAGGTGCCAAAGGTATGGCCAGGGGACCCATCTTGCCTCTATCCTTGCCTGGCCAGAAACATTGATTGTGTCCAAACATATCTCTGCTTATATGAAAGAAAAAGGGGTGGATGTCTGGATGGGGCTCCATGATGTTCGCCATGTGAGTATGACTCTCCCTATTTGTTTATCAATAATCAATCCCCCATCCCAACATCTATCTAACCTCTGATGGCTCTTTTCTTTGGATTTAGTGTGTGTTTCTTCTGTCTTGGTAACTTCAGAATGGGATCTGGAGGTGGACTGACGAGTCTGCTTTCAATTACAAGAACTGGATGCGAGGAGAACCCAACAATCTTTGGAATTCTGAGTACTGTGTTGCTTTCCGAGCCTCCACAGGTAGGTTTTCCATTCAGAGAAGGTTGCATAGACTTTGTGCAGTCTGCATTCAGGGTTGACCATCTGGAGAATAAAGCTTGTGATTATTCATTTGTCAACTCTTTGAAGTTATGATAGTACTGAAAAAAGCTACTTATGACTGGTCTTTACACTAATAACTATTGTAGCATCCCAAAAATCAAAATTTGGGTGCTTGGCAATTGGCATACATTCATGGCCGTTGTAGTATCCCAGAGTCATATGCCTGCCTTTTGCTTCCAACAAGCAAAGTCAATGAAGAAAGCTGGATTTGCTTAACAACCATGTGATTTGCTGAACAGCCAAAACAAAAAAAAATTCTTAAAATTGGATTCAGCTCAGTTAATGACCACATTGCTTAGCAATGGAAGTTCTGGTTTCAATAAGCTGAGGACTATGTGTAGGGTAAGTTAAGTAGATCCATAGCCTAATTCCATAATTAGGCAGCTCTTTATATTAATTGGTAATCAGGATGCAGTATCAGTATGGTCATCTCAACTGAGGTGACCCAAGACCTCAAGAGATTCATTAACTCTTTTTGTAGATTGGGTGTTCTTCTTGTTTATCCTATTTGACCACTTTGGGTATGGAGGGATGTGGCCTACAAAATTTACCCAGTTGCTTTTAGTTTATTTACTATTGCATCATGATGTAATGTTTATATGTACGTATTTAGTCTATATTGCTGTCCATCTCATGACAGGTGAACGACAAGTCTGCCTAGAAATATGATATGTTGAAGAGGGGAAAGGGGCTGAAATGAATGGGCTTCATTTTCTCTTTGCAGGTTATAAGGGCTGGATTGATGCTGTTTGCATGAAGAAAAAAGCCTTCATCTGCAAACATCAACTTTAGAAAATGAAGAAGTTTCACCTAAAGAATGATCATCATCCTGAATCAGGAAGCTATCCATGCTGTTACATCCATATGGCTTTCTTTCAAACATCACATGTATTTATTGCATGAGCAGTTTCTGTGGTCATCTGCTTCCTTTGCATCTGGCATCACATGGCACTAAATCTTGGGCATGGTTATTGCTTGAAAGCCATTGTCAATAAATATCATTAAGATCTGCATTGCCTGCATTTTATTACCCTCTGAACTTTCTGCACACAGTTCCCTCTCAATCACCAAAATAAAGGCATGTGTGGGTATGTGTGTGTGTATACACATACATACATGGCTGTCAGATAATTACTTTTGCTATAATAAATATGTTGAGCATCAGATGGTTCCTGGTTCTAAATTCAATTGTCAATTCAATTTAATTGTCCAGCAAAACAGTCTATTTGTTGTCTATCTGGGGGAACTTGAAAGATGACAGACACACACATTGCATGTTGAAATCCCAGGTTCAATGACTTACATCTCCAAGACAGAAGATCAGGAAACAGAGCTGAGTAGGATCCTATTCACCTAGCTGAGATGTGCTGTCTGGAGAAAGCTAGAGCCTGAAAATACGACAGATTCATATTTATCCAGGGATTACATGGTAGAAGAGAAAGAGAGAGAGAGTATGATAATTTAGAGTTGAAACTGAGTTAAATACAATAAGGAACTTATAATAAAATTAGTACTCTATACAAAGTCCTGTCTATGTCTAATGAATTCATTCCGTCAATCAAGATTTTCTGCTAGAGATTTAGAGAATGGGATTAAAGCAAGTTTATGCACCAAAGTGGTATGCCTGACAATATAAATGCGACAGCACTATGTGATGATGCACTGTTGTCTACAATTCAGAACTGCATTAAATTCAAAGTCACTTTTCACGAGATGGGTGGCTATATAAATTTGATGAATGCATGATTATTTCACATGCCACCTTTCTTTGCTGTGCCGAAAAGAAATGGCTGCTATCGTATTTCTTATTTGCTTTCCACTAGGTTATACAATCACTGTTGGTTTTTCAATATTTATTTCCTTGCCCAAATAAAGATTTGCTCAGTGCTCTTTCTTCAAAACCATCATCAGTTGCTTTTCCCTTGGCTAAAGAAAAGGTTGGTTCACAATTTTCTTGAAGCACTTAACATTATGGTTAAGATACGTTCCCTTGGCTGTTTATACCTGATAATTAGAAAGCTGTCCTCAGAGAAAAAGACATTCACATGGGTAGGTCTCAAGAGAGGGCAGTTAAATCTCTTGATAAATCTTTGCAGGAAAGTTTGTTTTGATATCTTTTAAAGTAGAGGGAGAGTGGAAAGAAACCTAAATAAGATGATTCTAATAAGAACAATATTTCTAACCTGGTTATTAATAGCAATAGCACTTAGACTTTATATACCACTCCATATTGCTTTACAGCACTTTCTGAGCAGTTTACAAATATCAGCATATTGCCCCAACAATCTAGGTCCTCATTTTATCATCTTGGAAGAATGGAAGGCTGAGTCAAACTTGAGCACGTCAGGATCAAACTCCTTGCTGTGGGCAGAGTTAGCTTGCAATACTTCATTCTAACCACTGCACCATCAGGACTCAGTATTAAACAAGGAATTGATTGAGGAATTAAACATGGAGGCTACCATGAAACTAAATGTTTTATGTATTGTTAGAAACAGGGCGGCAGAGCTGTTTAGCAGAGGGCACATCTCATATTTGAAGAGAAAAACTATAATGTGAACCTAGCAAATTTCACATATGAATTACTATGTTGCTTACACATCATTGTCAATGTTTGCAAAGCTCTAATAAACTTAAAGTACAAATGCAAAAGTAATGTGATTTCAAATTTGTGGATGATGAGATTACATGCATGATGTTTCAATGTAAATAAAATAGGGAAATAAAATGTATTCTTTCTTTGTGGAAGTTCAGCAGAGAGCTGGGGGATTCCTCATAAGCTTCAGCATTGCCTTCTTGGTCTCCATGTCTCTGCTCCTTGAAGGAGAGAGAAATACATTATTTTTTTGCTACAATGTGGATGCTTTTTCTTTTATAAAAACAACACAAGATCCTTAAGAGATAGAATCATTTGAACCACATTCTTCATTTTGGAACAATTGCAGGATTTTATTTTGCATTTTTGAATTTAAACATAGATGCTTTGTTTAAGAAAGCAGATGCTACTATTGCTGAAATATGAGGTCTGTAACCATGCTGGATATCTCTAAGATATCGTTTCAAATGAGAAGATCTGCTGTCATTTCCATCTGGGTTTCTTTTTGACTACTCTGTTGTTTAAAGTAATATTTTTTGATTGATGCAAATAGTATAAGGATATCATTCTGCTCTCTGCTCTATTTTTCTCCAGCATAATTTGTTTTGAAGATATGTTTGCACTTTTAACCAGTGTGAAGGACACGGAATTTCAGGATGAACAACTATTTTCATCCTTACACCACAAACTGCACAAATTTCTTTTCATTTATGATAGCCAAAAAAGCATCACGTAATTTCACTTGTAGGTAAATACAATTCTTGATACTCTGTCGGGATGAAGATAGCAAAGGCTCTCAATAAAAATGTCATTTGGTGAGCAAAATATCCCCCACGTATCTGGATTCTCCGTCTTCCAGATTTTCTTATTTTATTCAAATGCTTCTTCTTGAAAAGTCAAGAAGGGCTCACATTTAAAACAATGCATACTGAGCAACCACACAGTCAGAAACTATAAAATGTAACAAGTTGCAGTGTGTTGCCAACATTGTTTAATTGGGTAATAGCTAGGTAGAGTTGGATCAGTTTGTTACTTTGTTGGCTCATTAAAATAAAACCTTGGCCTGCAGGCTACACCAGAACTGATGTTAAACAGGTTTGAAGACTGTCTGCCCACCCATGTAAATTAGATAGGACACACATTCAGATAAGCTAATTTTACTTTATTCTAAGGTTATAAAAATAGCATCTTGCCAGTCTGAAAGTACAAATTTCCCGCCATCACTTTTAATAGTCTGATACTTTAAAGTGGGTCTTTCCCAAGTTTCTTTTTCTGACTGTTAAGCAACAGTTGGTACCCTCTCTCTTGTCTAATAATTTCCTAGTAAGCATGTCTTCCCTTTTTCCCTCAAAGTCATTCTCACATCCCATCCCATCAACACAACCAACAGTTGTGAGGGTAAAAACCTAGTGTCCTCTTTCAATATACCCAAATGGGCCTCTTTCTTGAGTGATGGATAATGAAAACCTGGCATTGCATGTCTTTTTGTTTTCATCTTACCATTACAATGGTGGTGGTGGGGAGATGATGTTTTGAATGGGTTAGTTAGAGAAAAAAAATATCTCTCCAGCTCTTCAGAAGTTAGCTGAGTGAAGCTCTCTGGAACCTTTCCAAGGACATTCTAGTCGCTGTCAAGAAGATAACAGACGGTTCTTGTAACAATGAAAATTTGTTTACCTGAGCTATGTGGACATCTGGGGGGTTTGGCTGGCAATGTCATTGTTATATGCTGTGGTTAGATGCCTTGGGATTTTAGAATTAGTTTTCATTCACCTGTACCACATCATGTATTCAATAAACCAGTAGGATTTTTAAGAAATGAAAGATATCCTGGACTTTATTTGGATATTCGAGCTGGAGGTTGACAAAGGCTACATGAGAGAACAAGCCTTTTACTTGACTATATTATTGTCTAAAGCTCAGTCACTTCACAAACAAGCTAACAGAGGAAGACCACTCAGATGGTTGCCAAATAGATGTTTGTTGGATGGTGAAAAAGTCAGAGTAAGGGATGTTTTTCAAGTCCAACTGACTATTATGCAATGAATGGTGCAATTCCAGTACAGGAATTTGGGACTTTCTTCCAGGGGGAGTAACTGTGTTGAGAATAATTGGTAAATTAAAAAACTGGTAGCCCAAGTGGGAGAGCTAAATCCAATTATACTACTTCTAGTAATAGTAATAGTAGTAAAGTTGGAAGGGACCTTGGAGGTCATCTAGTCCAACCCCCTGCTCGGGCAGGAAACCCTACGCTATTTCGGACAAATGGCTGTCCAGTCTCTTCTTAAAAACTTCCAGTGTTGGAGCATTTACTGCTTCTGGAGGCAAGCTGTTCCACTGATTAATTGTTCTCACTGTCAGGAAGTTTCTCCTTAGTTCTAGGTTGCTTCTCTCCTTGATTAGTTTCCACCCGTTGCTTCTTGTCCTGCCTTCAGGTGCTTTGGAAAATAGCTTAATTCCCTCTTCTTTATGGCAGCCCCTGAGATATTGGAATACTGCTATCATGTCCCCCCTTGTCCTTCTCTTCGTTAAACTAGACATACCCAATTCTAGCAACCGTTCCTTATATGTTTTAGCCTCCAGTCCCCTAATCATCTTTGTTGCTCTTCTCTGTACTCTTTCTAGAGTCTCAACATCTTTTTTACATCGTGGTGACCAAAACTGGATGCAGTATTCCAAGTGTGGCCTTACCAAGGCATTGAAGAGTGGTATTAATACTTCACGTGATCTTGATTCTATCCCTCTGTTAATGCAGCCTAGCACTGTGTTGGCCTTTTTGGCAGCTGCAGCACACTGCTGGCTCATATTTAAGTGATTGTCTACTAGGACTCCGAGGTCCCTCTCACAGTTACTACTATTGAGCATGGTGCCACCTATGCTGTACTTGTGCATTTGGTTTTTCTTGCCTAAATGTAGAACCTTGCTTTTTTCACCATTGAATTTCATTTTGTTAGTTAGTGCCCAGTGTTCAAGTCTGTCCAGATCCTTCTGTATCTGAAGCCTGTCTTCTGGAGTGTTGGCTATTCCTGCCAGCTTGGTGTCGTCTGCAAATTTGATGAGTTCCCCATCTATCCCTTCATCCAAATCGTTGATGAAGATGTTGAAGAGTACTGGGCCCAGAACAGAGCCCTGGGGCACCCCACTACACACTTCCCTCCATATAGATGCAGTTCCATTGAGGACCACTCGCTGAGTACGGCCGGTCAGCCAGCTACGGATCCATCTGGTGGTGGTTCTGTCTACCCCACATTTTTCTATCTTGTCAAGTAGTAGGTTGTGATCTACTTTATCAAATGCCTTACTGAAGTCCAAGTAAATTATGTCCACAGCATTCCTCTGATCCACTAATTTTGTCACTTGGTCAAAGAATGCAATAAGATTTGTCTGGCATGATCTATTTTTGACAAACCCATGTTGGCTTTTAGTAATGACTTTGTTTGCCTCTAGGTGTTCGTTGATTCGTTGTTTGATTATCTTTTCCAGGATCTTCCCAGGTATTGAGGTCAGGCTGATAGGTCTGTAATTTCCTGGATCCATTTTTTTTCCTTTTTTGAGGATGGGAACTACATCAGCTCTTTTCCAGTCCTCTGGTAGTTCCCCTGTGTTCCAGGATCTTTGAAAAATATAGTTCAGTGGCTCCGATATCACATCTGCCAGGTCCTTGAGAACTCTGGGGTGTAATCCGTCTGGTCCTGGTGATTTGAACTTAGGCTTATAAAAATAGCAAGGCAAACTATGAATGGGATGACAAATAAAACTTATGAAATAATTTAAGGGATTTCACAAAATGGAAGTGAGAGAATGCTGGAAGGAGCACCTGTATGGGAATAAACTTGAAAACAGAATTCAAACAAAAGTTTCTAATGTCCAGGAAAACAAATTAGATGAGAAAGATGTTCTGACTGTTGTGAGAAGGTTGGGAAATAGTATGATGCCAGGTAGAAATGGCGTAAGTGAGAAATGTTAAAATACGCTTGTGGTTTGTTGATGAATTGGCTGTCAAAGTTGCAGTATTTAATGTTTCATGATCTATATGTAATAAATTAAATATTGTTTGCTGTTATTATTCTCTTACCCAAGGGGAAAACCTGCAAAGCAAACTATGAAAGCTACAGAGAGATTAGTTTGGTAAAGGTGTTAAGAAGGTCATTGACAGTATTCTGATTGAAAGGGGATGTGAAGTGATAAAGGGAAAAAAAATCAAGAAATACTAGATAGGGAGAAGGGATATTTAGATCTGACTTTTGGTAAATCAGTGCTGAGTAGTATCTGCCTTTTAGAATCAACCATCAACAGTAAAAGAACACACAGTCAAGAAATATACTGTAAATTAAAATTTGATAGAGCAGCCATGAAGGCCTTAGAAAAGACATTTAGAAGGCCAAAAGCAAACCACCATTGACCAGTACCTAGTTCTCCATCGTCACATTGAAAAATACTTCTTCTGCAACATAGTCTTTATGCTACCTTTGTAGACAGCATAAGATTCCATACCACAGACTAAATTGTAGACCAATCTGGAGGTCTCCTCGATTAACCAACATTTACTTCATTTAATATGGAGATGGTTATCAGCATCAAATTTCTGGGTGTGCAGCTAGTGAATAGGCTGGCTTGGTCGCTCAACAGTGAGACACTGGTGAAGCGGCCACAGCAGCACCTGCATTTTCTGCATCGCATGAGAAAAATACATTTTCCTTCCCCTGTCCTTACCACTTTCTACAGAGGGATGATTGAGAGCATCTTGTCACATTGCATTACAGTCTGGTTTGGAAGCATTACATCAGACGGGAAGATGGTGCAGAGAGTGGTGAGGATGGCAGAAAAGATTATTGGCAGTTCCCTCCCTTCCATCCAGGACATAGCATATAAGCATTGCTTGAGCAGGGTCCACAGGATTGTCTGGGATGCTACACATCCTCTTCACGACCTGTTTTCCTTGTTACCTTCTGGGAGGGGGCATTGTGGTATTCAAAGCAGAACATCCAGATTCAGTCACAGTTTTGTTCCATACAGTATCAACCTTGTGAACTCTCAAGCTTCCTTTTTCTGCTAGGTATTCAAGATGGACAATGATTAATATTTAAATGTATTTATATGTAAGGGTGTAGGTATATACATATGTACTCATATAGTATGTTTATATGAATGTTATGTATGTGTACAGTCTTGAGAATAGGCAACACAATTTCATTTTTAATGTATGCCAGTGTGCCCACAGTGAAAAAAAATGACAATAAAGGTTATCTATGTTCCTCTGTCTGTCTGTCTGTCTGTCTGTCTGTCTGTCTGTCTGTCTATCTATCTATCTATCTATCTATCTATCTATCTATCTATCTATCTATCTATCTATCATCAATCTATCTAATATATATGCATGGACATCATTCCAAGTAAGATGTAGCCCCCAGGGCCATCTCACCAGTATCATTGAAACTCAGAAAGGTGTCAAGTTAAGCTGCATATTGGCTCCACTCCTATTTAGTTTCTGTATTAACTCCATGGTCATCTCCACAATGTGAAGTTTCAGTCATCAAAACTTTCTGGAAAACATATCTCTATTCTGGATTATGCAGACAACACAACAAAACTTTCAAGAACATTAGTCTTAGAAGAGCACTGAGAGCAGTACTACAAGAAAGACCAGCAATTATCAGAAAAAATAAAATCTTGTCAAAATTTGTGGGACACACAACACAGCCGATCAAAGGAAGACCCATGCTTTTAATAGGGTAGATATGCAAAAGAGGGAATTCAGACAGGAAGACTTGGTGATAAATGAGCAACACACATTAGTTGTATACCTTCACAACTGAGCAAATGACACAAATGGGCTCTTATCCTCCTTTGCATGTTCTTAATGGGAAGGAAGGTAAATGAACCAAGAATGAAAACTTCAGAAAAGATTTGCATTAGAATATTTTTATTGATATTGCACTTTATGCAAGCCACAAGAAAGCTTCAGAAGAAGAATGTAACTAAAGGTAATTTTTGTGAGTTGATGTTTTGAAGAAGATGGAAGAGAACTTTATCTCTGTGGAATATGAGGAGGTAATAAGTGGGAAGGCAGCCCATCACATCAGCATCCTGGGAAGCACTGGGAGAAGCTTGTCATCTTTACAACACATGTTTGCAGATGTAGGCATTGCGTGCGTTGCATTGAATGTCATTCCATTGTTTAAAGCCTAAAATGCAAATGAAACGTATTATTATTTGGGGGTGCTTTACTTTTTTCCAAAATGGATAGTCCAGATAAATGAATACAGACATGCAAATACCCACAAACGTATATGCAAGAATGTTTGTTTAGAATGAGACAAGAAAAAAAACTCACTTGGGTTTAATTCTGCTTTGTAAATCATTGATCTTTATGACTGTTATTGAGACTTTCATATATTTTCTCCTATTATTAAACCTAAAAAATTCCCAGAGGGAGACTATTGGAAAAAGGATAAGATACAAACTTGACAATAGATTGCAAATCCATGTTGTTTAGAATGTCAAAATTTCTTGCATGAGACGTTTGCTTACCTATGGATCGTCGCAGCTCCACGCAGTGCTCATTGTTGCCATAATTATTTGGTTGGTAGTTCATCCAAGATTTGTAGTTGTAAGTGGATTCATCAGCCCATCTCCACTTCCTGGTCTGTGAAAAGGAAATATGCTTAAAAGAACGTAATTTTTGTGTATGATTATGAGGAATTGAATCTTTTAGTGGCAAAGTACAGAGCAGAAATCTACAGGATTAAGGTAGGTCAATAAACATTGTGCTACTGCTGGTAGTGATCCATAGGAGCAGAGTTAAGTCAGGTGATCTCACCTGATGGACATCATGAAGTCCAATCCAGACATTAGCAAGTCCCCGTTGGTAAGTGGAGATGTGCTCAGCCACCAGGAGCGTCTCTGCTGTGGTAAGGATGGAGGCAAGATGTGCCCCACGGCCATAGCTCTGGCACTCGATCTTGAAAAAGCAAAAAAGAATATGACGTTCTGTGATCATTTCCCGACTCCAGAATCTGTGAAACTTCCCACATGTTAAATTTTGTAAAATTCTAAATATGATCAATCATTTGTACAATATGATTTGAAGAGATCTTTTAAGTCTTACTAGGAGATGCTAATATTGCACATCAACTTAGTGAAATCCTATATTTCCACTTAAACATGTTTCCTTCCAGCTCAAAATTCAAGAATATCTTCATTTAGAGCAGTGGTTCTCAACCTGTGGGTCGGGACCCCATTTGGGGTCGAATGACCATTTCACGGGGGTCGCCAAACAACGCAGTCCGCCATTTTTTCCCCTTTTCCTTAGCTGTGCTACTCCCTTTTATTCTATTGGCTTTTGAAAGCCAATAGAATAGACTCTCTTGAATAGAGTCTAATTCTATTGGCTTTCAAAAGCCAATAGGAATTGTCCAGGCTGTCTCTGCCCTGCTGAGCCCGCCAAAAGTCCTATTCTGCAAAAGGTGCTGCACCAGTTGAGTAGTCCTCGACTTACAACCAGTTGAGTAGTCCTCGACTTATGACCGGTTGGGGTCGCGGCATTAAAAAGGTTGAGAACCACTGATTTAGAGAGTGTTGGTAACAAACATATAAGTTTAAAATATAGGAATACAGTATTATATACTGTATATACAAATTCAGTATTATATGCTGTATCACAGAAAAACCCAATCTATCCATTACCCTATAATCCTTTTCCTAAACCTGTAAATCATTCATTACAGAACATGTTGACTGTAAGAAAGGCTTCCTACCTCTGCTTCAAGCCATGTCAACTTCTGATCAAAATAAGCATAGCAGTTGCCTTGGTTTTGCAGCCATTCCGTGGCACAGGTGTCAGCCTCCACTGCATTGAAAAAGGGTAGTGAAAAAGAAGATTAAAATACAGAGCAATATCTTGCCTATATAAAATCCTGGGAAGAAAAGAAACATCTTGCTAGATTGCCTTGTCTAATTCAACATTTTGTTCACCCAGTGGCCAATTAGGAAAATTCCAGAAGACCCCAAGTAAGAAAGGAAGATCTTTCATTATGTGTTTATTATCACTTTGACATCAGTGAGGCCTTTATACTATAAGATAACAAAACAACTCTTGTTTCCTATATTTTTGAAAAATGGTGCAGGATATTGAAAGCTAATGATGTACTCCCATCGAAATTTGTCAGAGAAACTCACCTTGAAGGAAAGGACTGGTGAAGAAGATGCCAAGAAGACAAAGGATGAAGTAGGCAAGGAGACCCATTGTTTGGCTGACCTTCAAAGAGAGAAAGAAATATGAAATAGAAGAAATCTATTTGTTGTCTACCACGCATCAACCCAAATATAGAAAGGAAGGAAAATGGCCTTGTTTTAAAAGTTGCACCAGGACAAAACTGAGTCATTGTATGAGATAGATAGGTGGCCATATGTCCTATAAATAAATATATCAATCAATCTGGATTTCATTTTGTTTATATTAACACTAAATGAAAATTACTTAGATGGAGAATGGCAACAATTGGGCAACTTTGGTTGATTATAAAATCTAAGCAAGATCAGGGTTGGCTAATTTTTGGATGGGACCTATCAGGAAATTGCAAGATAGTATATGAGGCTGGAAAGTCAAAGAAACATCTGGAAGAGGATAGTGGTGAATCATTTCTCTAAATGACATGGATGAGTCTATGAAGACAGGCCGAGCTACATGGCAGGTTCTATTTGACCTTGACTGATCTGAAAAAGTTATATGGGTTAATAGTTTGAAAGAATAGGAGACCATTAAGTTTCATAAATGGAAAGGTTAAAAGAAGAAGACAGCAGGAAATCAAATTTTATATTGATCCCAAGAAAAAAAAATACAGCTGTTGTTCAAGGAGAGCTCAATTTTACCTTTTTAGAATTTACACCATTCTTCTCCAATATTATCAATTAATGAGGACTGGCAGCAATGGCCTAAACTGTGTTTTCCCTTTCTTATATTTAAGGCTTCCCAGAAATCCTTGTTCATACTCCTCTATAATTACTTTGCCTGAAAGCCTTTGACAACAAGTCCTTCTATACTTTCTATAGGCTGAGAAAAAGCCCTCTTAGTAAGAATCTTATTTCTTCAGCTACATACCTTGGTATGGTCTTCTCTTTCTGAATGGACAGAAGTGGCGGAGAGTCAAGTTGGATCCCTCTCAGATACTCTCTTGCTTTCTGAGCAGTGGCTTTATAGAGCCTAAGACAGATGTGGAGCAACATCAATGACCTGAGTCCTTCAAGGAAATCCTGGCCTGTCCTTTTCACTATTGCGTAAATGAAGGCCAAAGTAGTAGGAAGTAGCTTGTGAGCGCTATCATCAGAATCACTGAAGAAAGGGCACGGTGATTTATTTCAGACTGCACATACAGCTGAAACCATTGTTCTGATTTTGTATCCTTGAGAAAGGATGTCAAATGAGACTGTCAATTGTGCTCTGAATACATTAGTTCATTTTCCTCATTCCATTGACCTTAAATGCCAGAGAGTAGCTTGGCTCAACCCAAGAGTTCTCCAGTCTGTGGCAAAATTCTGATTTTTGCAATGTCAGAGTAACAGAATAACAAAGTTGGAAGGGACCTTGGAGATCTTCTAGTCCAACCTGCTGCTCAAGGAGGAGACCCTATACCATTTCAGATAAATGCTTGTCCAGTCTCTTCTTAAAAACTTCCAGTGACAGAACATCCACAACTTCTGAAGGCAAACATTTCCATTGATTAATTGTTCTTACTCTTAAGAAATTTCTCCTTAGTTCTAGATTGCTTCTCTCCTTGATTAGTTTCCATCCATTGTTGCTTGTCCTTTCTTCTGATGCTTTGGAAAATAGGTTGACCCCCTTTTCTTTGTGGCAGCCCCTCAAATATTGGAACACTGATATCATGTCACATCTAGTCCTTCTTTTCATTAAATGAGACATACCCAATTCCTGCAATTGTTCTTTATATGTTTTAGCCTCCAACCCCCTCATCATATTTGTTGCTCTTCTCTGCACCCTTTCCAGACTCTAAACATGTTTTTTATATTGTGTTGACCAAAACTGGATGCAGTATTCCAAATATGGTCTTACCAAGTGGTACTAATACTGCACATGATCTTGATTCTTTCCCTCTTTAATGCAATCTAGGACTGGATTGGCTTTTTTGGTGGCTGCAGCACACTGCTGACTCATGTTTAAGTGGTTGTCTACTAGGAATCCTAGATTCCTAGATTTAGATCCTAGATTTATACAATTTTAAAAGAGGAATCAGGAAGAACAGGGGGGAATAGAGAACAGAATTCAGGATTAAAATAGATTAAGAAGGGAAAACATCTGCATAGCCTTCTATTATTATGAGCTGATTCTTCCACTTAGCTGAAAACTTGTGTTAAGATACACAAGTATAGTAGCTTTAGATGAGTTCCCCTGCTGCCTTGAACACTTAAAAGGAAAAGAGAGGATTCAAATGCACACTGCTGGGAGACCCTTATAAACTCCTTGGATGAAACAAGGGAAGCCACTGAGTAGCAGGCAGCCATTTTAATAAAAATGAAGATATGCCAATATTGTATCCCATTTGAAAAACATGATTGCCTTCCAGCTTCTCTTGGCACAGTACACTATCCTTCTTTGTATGGCATTGCTTCTATCTTGCCTATTTAATTTGAAACTCTGAAACTATTCCAGAAACTCAACAAGATATCAGAATGGTGGATAGTAGCAACATAATGCTCAGTTTAGAAAAATGCCCAGCTACTGGAGAAGAAAAAAGGAATATAATGTATGGTAATATGAGTACAGTGTAAGCAACTCTGTATTCCAGTATTTGAGGGGCTGCCACAAAGAAGAGGGGGTCAAATTATTCTCCAAAGCACCAGAGGGCAGGACAAGAAACAACGGTTGGAAACTGATCAAAGAAAGAAGCAAATTGGAATTAAGGAGAAACTTTCTAATAGTGAGGACAATTAACCAGTGGAACAGCTTGCTTTCAGAAATTGTGGGTACTTCATCACTGGAGGTTTTCAAGAAGAGACTAGACAGTCACTTGTCTGAAATAGTATAGGTCAGTGGTGGCGAACCTATGGCACGGGTGCCAGAGGCGGCACTCAGAGCCCTCTCAGTGGGGACGCGCGCTGTCACCCCAGTCCTAGGCCTTCAGCTGGGTTTGATAAAACCTTTTGATACAAAGGAGGTTATATTGATGTTAAATTTGATTACAGCTGCGAGGCTGTTAGTAGGACAATATTGGAAGAAGGAATCTTTGCCTACATTGCAGGAATGGTTTCTTAAAGTGTCTCATTTGGCGGAAATGGCAAAGATTTCGGCTTTCTTAAAGGGTCAAACGCAAGAGAAATTTCTTGCTGTTTGGGATAAATGGATAAAATTCATACAATTTAAATTTGATATAAAAAAATACTATATAGTTTTTTCATAATTTTTAACTTTATATATATATATTTTTTCTATTTTATATTCTTTTTTTTATAAATATAATTTTTTTTTAACTTTTTTTAATTAAGCCTATATTCTGCTCTGGGAGGCCCTGGGGGGGGGAAGGGGGGGTTTGGGTAGGGGTGGGGGAAGGGGGGTTTTGTTGGGTAATGTTTGTTTTTATTTGTATATGTTGTTTTTTGTTTTTGTATTGTCTTTTATTTTCTGTAAAATTTATAAAACTCTTTAATAATAAAAAAAAACCCTTTGCTTTAGGCCTCTGCTGCAAAAAAAAAAGGTTCAATCAATCAGTCAATTTCAACTTCTCGCGGGAAAAAAAGATCTTGCAAAATTGGAACTGATTGATTGAACTTTTTAGTCCTACCCAGTCTGCCATTACCATCGCAGCCACGCCCACCCAATGGGCCACACTCACCCAATGGGCCACACCCACCCCGCACCTGACAATGCATAAGTGGATTTTGGGTTGTAGTTTGGGTACTCTGTCTCTAAAAGGTTCGCCATCACTGGTATAGGTTCTCCTGCTTAAGCAAGGGGCTGACTAGAAGACCTCCAAGGTATCTTCCACATTCTATTCTGTTCTGTTCCATTCCGTTCTGTTTTGTTCTAACTCTGTTGCTAATCTTAATCATAATCTCTTCCATTTCATTCATCTGGGCTCTGTCTTTAACAGAACATACATGTTTGAGTAGAACCAAGTTCATTAATAGTATTTAGGGATACATCATTAAGGTCAAATGGAAAAGTAAAATTCATGAAGGTAGTTAACTGCTCTAATAGAAAGTCTGCCTCTTGAAAATCTCTGTCTTTCATGTGGGGAAAGGAGAAGAAGGAAGGAAGAACTCTGACCTTTCTGAAAGAAGCTGAGGGGGAAAGGTCAAGGTCATTTCCTCACTTGACACAAAAGAGTATCTTGTAAATCTACAGGACCATCATTGAGACAACATAAAGCCTGTTCTTACTACTCATCTATCAGCTCAGTGATGGCTGAAATGCCTCACGGCATTTTCCTCACAAGGGTTTCATAGATCCAGAACTATCATGTATTGATGACTCAGAGAAGCTGTAAATCTGGTGAAGTAACCTTAAAGTTCCCCTCAATCATTACTGGGGACTCTTCCAATGAAAGGAAAGCAGAACAGGGACCAAAAAAAGAATAGAGAAGAAATGGCCACCTAATGACTCTTGTGGTATCCAAATGAAGTGTCCAAGGTTCAAATAGCCGGTACTTCAGATATTTGGACCATTGGAGAGTGGTGGAATGGAGAAGTTAGTAAGATGGAAAGGTTACCAATTCACATCAAGTAACTGGAAGCCAGGTCTAGGCATGCAAACTACAGCTCTCCTTTTGCAAAGCAGTTCAGATATCCTCAACATTTTCAAAACATCCATTGAGATCTCAGCTGACTACTGCATTAAATGGTCTAAGCAGACAAATCCATCTTACCTGGTCCACCAACCGTACTTTCTCAAATGAACTTCCAAGAAAATTTCCAAGTTCCTGAATTTTTAGGGATAATGAGATACATAACGAAATAATCTATCCCCCATCTGCCTGATCTATATTATAATCCTTCAGCAAAGCAATATATGTTAATTCTGAATGGATTAAGTTTCATATGAGGGTCCTTATCCCACATTGCCTCCAGACATTTATTCAGGATTTCTAACTTCTCCTTGGAAACCTAGCCATGGTCTAGATATTTTTTAGTTGTTCCATGTAGAGATTAAAAAAAACATGAGGAAAAGATATACAATAGCTGGAGTATCCTGTCTATGGAGATTCTCAGTCATCCAGGTCATGGTTGTCCCAAAGGTGCTTTTTCAGGAGGCAACTGGACTTTCTTGTTTTTCTTTGAAAATGTTTCGCTTCTCATCCAAGAAGCTTCTTCAGCTCTGACTGGATGGTGGGGAATGGAAGGATTTATTCTCCTTGCAAACAGCTTGTCATTTGCATTCTTTTAGAGAGCCGTTGAAGCTATTTGGAGGCTTGTCTATGTCCTCAGCATCACCTGAGTAGTGTAAATGTGTGTGGTGCCTTCTTGGCTGGAATATCCTGTTTGAAGAAATCAACTTGCTATGATTTCAAGTCAGGCTCTTATAATCTCAGATCTTTTCAATTCAATGATTTTGTTTTTATATGGCCTTGGATACTCCAGAGGATCTTTGATATATTTTGGATGTGAGAGGTTGTGCAGCAACTTTGTCCCATACTGTGGGCTGGTTCTGTTTTAATTTAATGTTTATAGATTTCACTGTAATGAGAAGAGAAACCATGTTTAGAGAAATTGAAGTGATGTGGGAGTTGAGACCGATAATTTGGAATTTATCTAACCCTGGAAAAATTGGATTTATTGTGCATTGACTGTAATGGTGGTGTTATTTAATGAGAAGATTCTGGTATCCCTGATTTTATGACTGTAATGGTGGTTTCATTTAATGAGAAGATTCTGATGTCCCTGATTTTAGAGTTTGGATGAATGAGATGTGCTCATTTTCCATTTTTGAACTTGTTTTACTCTAATGTCAAAGCAAATCTGAACAAGGTTATTTCATGCAGTCAAAGATTCATTTATGGTTTCAAAAGCAGAGGGTATTATTTTTCTTCCTGAGATTCAGTCTCTTTATAGGCTTTATTCTTTTCTTGTTTTTTTTAAATTGCCTACTGTAATGACGCTAAGAAAAAGACTCAGGCATGTCTTGAGCAGAAGTTTGAAGCTGCAAGACACAGCTTCACAC